GAGGAGCCGATTCAGGAAAATAGCAGGACAAATTGAACAGCTTAAAGATATTTCTTGTTGCCGGAAATATCTTTAAACTGTTAAACGGTGTGATACTGTCTACACATTTTTATACATTTTATACATTTGTTCCATTTATGTTTGAATTCCACCCGTCAATTTTTGTCTATTGTTGGATCAAGACATTGATACATTGCATTTACTAGAATTTAGAATTGTACGTTTGTGCTTGAAAGTGTACTCCCTCTGGTAAATGTCATAGTCTTGGCCATATTTTGAAGATACATTTTTTCCACCTATTGTTAGTGGGTTTTGTGTTTTTTTTTTGTTTTGTTTTTTTTCAAATTACGACATCATTGAGCCATTCTGTGCAGACGTTAAATTTGCAGTTCATGCATTTTTACTTTTGCTTGTATAGGTCCCGGAGGCTTTTGCCAAGAATATAAAAAGGATAATTAACCCTATTTGATTCCACCTCCAGACTGGGCTTTCTGAATGGAGTTTGCTTGTTCTCCTTGTGTCCGCATAGGTTTCCTTGCGGTGCTATTGAGAACCAGGCGATGGAGACTTATCAGAGTTAGAAGGATTTATTGATTTGACAATACATGGCTTCACTTAACCACTAACAATGAGTGAGACTGTGAGAAATTATTATTATAAAAACATCTTTCTGCCAGAGGGTGTAAACTTTCAAACTGTTTAGTCGAGGCATGAGTCCAATTATTGGAAATGTATGTGATGGGTGTTGATATTTTTCCATTTTATGTCTGAATTTTCCCCAGCAACAGCCCCTGATTGTATCCCCCCCTTCTTTTGATCATTAATTGATACGAGTTTTCAATCACGCTTCTGCCATCCTCACCCTTCTCGGCTTCATTAATTTGCCGGTCTGTTCGTTTTGGCCGTGTTCCCCACATCCAACAGCGAGTTGCCCATCTGTCCCCATGCACTGTAGCCCCTCCAGCTCCACTCAATAGCAACAGCATCATAATAAAACAAGACTTTATTTCAAATGTTTTACGCCTGAATAGAATTGATGTAGGGACGGGAAAAGGTGCAAACAAATGGCTCATTTTTATCTCCTCAATCCGAGCTATAGTTATAAAAAAGCAATACACACACTGCCTTATGGTTACAGTATATTTAAAAAAAACTCCTATTGTTAAATCCCTGTCTTATATTGTTAGATTAATGTCTTTTGATCACGTTGTAACAAATCGAGCTCTGAGGTAATATTCTTCGTCTCCCAAGCCACGTTCATAATTAGCATTAGTTTTGTGCATGTAGAAGCCCTATGGAACGGCCTCTCATGGCTTACACACGTCTATAGCTCATTACTGTGCTAGTGATCCTGTATGTGCAATGGGAAATGTTAGCTGAAGGTTATGCAGAGGGTCTCAATATGTGGTGTCTGCATTGTTCAGTCTTCTAGTTTATTTAAGAGAATGTTATGCAACTTTCTATGTGTAAATTATGGCAGATTTTTACCTTTATGAGTGAGTACTGTGAAATGGTGCCTAATATATACAGTAGGTATGAATGTAATTGAATGAGTAGAGGGTAATGATGGGAAGCTTCAATGCGCTTGTGTGTTTTCGGTCTCGCTTCTGTCATTGCTCTGTGTGTGGAAAGATTGGGTGAGCTTAGTCTGTAGAATATAAGGATTACCTACTGAGTTACTTTACTTTCATCAGTGGTCTCTAGGATGCTACAGGGTCAGTTTTTTGAGAGGGACTGCTAAGGGACTCCCGCATCAGAAAACAAAACCTTGATCAAAAGTTAAGGCACCATGATATTCGCACTCGCACCTGGGTCACTATAACGTCAAATCCAAAAAAATGAATCTACTTTTTTCCACATAAAAAGCTGCAAAATGCACCATGACCCTTAAGTTGTGATTTCCGACCATTCACTTCAATATAAATGGTCGTGTCTCTGTTTTCTCCAATAGTTTAGACTAGGCGTCAATCTTGTCCTCCCTTTTTTGATTTATCTCATTGTATTTACAATATTTATCTCAGTTTTGTGGAAGTTGGCAAACTGCAGGCGGTAGCAGTAATCCAGCACCAAGCTGTGTAATAATGATGGCCATCTGTCATTCTAAAATATTCCTGGACTATTTTTATCTTCTGACAGCCAATCATCCTTTAACCTTTTTATCTTGCTGTCAGTGTCTTTTTCACACAATCTTTTAATCAATCAGGGCTGGAGTTTCTTTATTTGTCTTCATGCCAGTTTTGACTCCAAGGATCATCCATCTTCTCTTGACACTTTATCAGCAATGTTTACTCGTGATCTTTCTATACACTGAATTTTATCCCAAAACTAATCTATCCTTATTTTACTTTATGTCCATTCATCATTCTTGCCATGCTTTATCGTTCTGACCGCTGAAATGCCTCCACTTGACCGTAAGCTGTGTGTCTATCATGGTCATACCTATTTTTTCTTTTAGAAAGCATTGGAAAAATGGTTTCAGAAATCACTTGGGAATTGGTCCTGTCTCAAACAGTGGCCTCAGCAGATAATTTGAACTGAAGGTTGAAGCTTGTTCCTAATAATAATATGCAAAATAACCTTATTCAGTAAAAGGAATCAAACAAACTGACTGACTTAAAGCTTGGACACCTAGTTTTGCATCAGAAGTAAAACCATATTGTTTGAACCAAGATAAAAAGTGAACAAATAAGACCACTACATTCTGTTTTCATCTCTGTCATTAGAAAACGTGTTACATATTTCTCATAGTGGTAAGAATAAGTCCAGGGAGTCACTGTTTGATATTTTGGGCTGAGAGCTGATTGGTTGTGTGTGGGTGGTCCTCTTTTTTTTCACTTTTCTGTCTGAAAAAGCTGAGAGAGAAGCTAAAAATATAAATGCTGTGAAAAGTAGTGACTCTTTTGAGAGTGAGGGACAAGTTGAGTTTACTGGTTTGAAACTTAGGTACCCCAACATTAAACCAAATCATCCCAATTGGGTGGTTCTTAGTAATGTTTTACCAGATGGCTCTTCTTTTTCACAAAATGCTGTTTCTAAATTCTGTGGCACTCGAATATCGAACGATGTTTCTTAAACTTAAAAGCTCTCCTCTTTGACCTTTGGCTTGTTTTCCTCTAAATTCCCCCATCGCTCTTGTCCTATACTGGCTAACAAACCAATATACTCAACGACGAAAATAGGACCATGAAAAACTGATGTAACGGCATATTGAGTTTTTTTTCTTTCTCTTGCACTATACTCTGACCTCGCTGTTTATCTTGTCACGAGTCAAGCCCAGGTTTCACACTCCTCCTCCTTGGTCTTTGTATCTCATGGCCCTTGATCCCCTCCATACATCCATCCAGTCACCCTGATCCCCATGTCACAGAGCTGAAGCTAGCCCAAGCTTACATAAAGAAGGCCTCTAAACAAGGAGAGGTGGAGCTGCATACAAACGCCAAGTGAAAGCAGCTCAGAGCAGGTGAGAAGGCTCCAATGCAAGACAGTATAGATGGGCTTATTTGGGGCTTATTTGAGTGGGGAGGTTTGCATTGTCCAATAGGAAAGTGCTCATGAACGTAGTTTTGCTCCATTGTGCTCTGGCTCCTATTGACTTACACTGAAAAGTAAATGACTCAATAGCTCAGTAACTGATTCTGTCACACGCACCATTTTAGGCAAAACAAAATCTGTGGTTTAGTGCTCGCCATGATCCTGGTGTTTTTTTTGTTTTTTTGTTCATATTGTTTTTGTAAATCCAGATAGAAGCTATATAAGGATTAACCAATCCTTTGATGCATTCATTCAGGAAACTCCAGCTTGCCTTAGCAACCATCCTAACAACACGTTTATGATGTATGGAGGATTTTCCCATATAAGAAAATTGGCTGATCAGCCTCTTTTGTAATAACGCTAGTGCTCGGTCAGTCCATTCCTAATATAAATTCTATGCTTCAATCTTATGCAACATCTAATACAAACCAGATTTTGTATAAAGTAAACTAGAGTTCTCAAGGCATTATAGAAATAATTAAAGTAATAGAACCTCAGCATGCTTAAGTCTATGCCTAAAAAAATTGTTAGTTGACAATGATTTCAATAATATCATTGATTGGGATTGACCGATTTAACTTGTGACAACACTACTCAATATCCATTCTTAATTGAAAAGACCTACATTCATTGCTGATCCCTTGTGGCAAGGGGGGTCTCCTGTATATGATAGCATTTGAAAAAAAGTTTAAAGAAGTGATGCCTTTAGCACAGATTGAGTAAGTGGGTGAGATGGATCAGGTTGCTGTGTGTGTTGTTCCTCATAAGATATTGTCTTGTGGGACTGTTCTACTGTATTGCTTTTGTATTATTTGGCGGATTTGTTTCAAATGGTCTTGTTGTTGAGCGGTTTTGCAATCCTGCTTGATAAAGCTTTATGTATTTTTACTAGAATTGTATGTAAAAACAAAACGCTTGAATGTGCCAGTACAAAACAATCTTGAGGTTTTTTTTCAGCAAATCAGTCATTTCTACTGTAGGTAAAGCAAACAATGTTGGATACACATGTTTTTCAAATGAAGCTAATATGTTTAAATATTATACAGAGCCTCTCTCGTTTCCCATCGGTGACAATTCTAACTTGAACGTGAACCTTAAGTCGTCCTATTTAGTGAACTCGCTAACGAAGAACTAAGGAAGTTGATCAAAGGATTGCATTTTCTGGGCTCTTCATAAACAAGCAATTATAATATTTTGTTTGCATGGTGAACAGGACACTTTCTTCTTTATGACAGGGCTTTGAAAGGCACATATGGGGGGAGGCTTGTCTTTTACATGTTTGTGTTGGGAATACACATCCCTTTATTATTTATGAAAGTCCTATGTAAGCTTGTGCATTTAATTTGTTCAATGATTCAGCCTCTGCATGTCCAACCAACTACACAGCCACACTGTATACACGTGTATATATATCCACTTTTTATTTTCACAGCACTTCCAGAAGACAATAGAGGATAAATTGCTGTTACCTTTTCCGTCTGTGCGGCTCTATAATCCAGATCAGGTCCACATGTTTCCAGGGATGTGTGTGCGTGGGTGTTGTGTGATTTGAGTGCTTGTGCTAGCTCCAGGTGTCTTCCTTCAGCTTGGTTTGTTAGCCTGGGTTTAGTCTTTGCGTTTTCCTTCCTGTATCACACACACAACACCTCGCCACACAGGTATCTGTAAGCTCTTGTTTAGGTCAGCGCAGCAAACTCCAACAATCCCCTCTTTCCGTTTCCAATATCCTTTTAAGGAGCTTCTATAGATGAAGAAAACCTGGAAAATCCCAATTTACGCGCTAGTCGGTCCTGTATTCCGGAATGGAGACTTCCGACAAAATTCCACGCGTGAAGCAAAATCCAATTTATAGCTGCTCTTCTGATACATCCTCCTTGCACTCTTGTCTCCTATCTCTTATTTAGCCTTCCCTCCATTCCTAAAGTTTATTCCTAGGCGTGTCTGCAGGCCTCCTCTTGTTGTGTGACTATTTCTTTTTGTCGTGGTCAGTCAGTAGTGAGTATTCTCCCACGTCGACCTTGACTGGACAAAGGGCTGAGATCTGTGAAAAGATACAGATTAAGTGCTTGGACTGGACTTGGATTTAGTGCTTGACTCCTTCCTAGTGCATTATCACCTCTCCTCCGTGACCTCCCCTTGAGCCCCCCCGTCCCTTAGTTTTCGTCCGTTGCTACCTCCAATGTCTCACATGTCTGTCACATTTTGCTCTCGGCTTGGCCTAAATCCCCCTCCTCCCTCTCTGTCTTTCTTGAGTTGCCACCACCCATCTTTCTCCGTCACCTCACCTATCCATCAAAGCAGATCAATAGTTTTCCAGACCCTCTGCTAAATCTCTGAATGCACCAGAGAGCGAGACAGCGACGCAGACATCTTTCTAAGTAGCCACGGTCCTCTCCTCTCTTCCCTTCTAACGAAACAACAGCGCTATTGATTCACGCCATGAATGTCAGCCGGTTCAGAAGTCCACCCCCCCCTCCAGTCAATCAAACTACATATAGCGCTTTCAAAGTCGTTTATACCAGGTCTGAATTTACCCAATAGCATCTACTTTTCTGTTTCTGGCTCAGTCCACCCCTACACAAACACAGCTTCTACAAAATCAGAGATCTTCACTTCTTTCAGCTCTTTCATGCTCCCCTCACATCTGTCCCTTTGCCCCGTTCTCAGATGGAAATCAAGCTGGGAATACTAACCTTGTTTTCCGGTTCATTCCACTGCGACTCTCATCTCTTCATAGGCTCCGCGGACGTACACCCATCCCTTTGCGCTCCCGTCTTCCTCTCACTTGCTCTCTCTTGCTGGGTCTCTCTTGCCTATTGCCAGCTTGCACGCGTTGTCGCTCTTCCCCCGTCAGGCTGCTGGCGCTGATTGAATTTTAAGTCATGTTAATCCTACCAAACAGGTACTGAATGAGAGAAGGATGCGGCAAATCGCGGAAAGGGCGGGCAAGCACCACAACACGGGGTCTAAGCTGGCTTGTATTTTTAGAAATCCCTCCCTCGCCTTCTTTCCTTAAGGGAGATTCTCCACTTTCTTTGACTTGTCCTGTCTGTCACTTCGCCTCCGCCTCTCCTTCCACTTAAGAGTGTTTATATCCGCTCGCAATCCCGTCCTCTGTCCCTTCTCCTTGCTGTTTCTCTGAAAAGTGTGAAGCGTGCGCGTGTGTGATTCCCAAAGCGAGAAAAAAAAAGAAGAAAGAATCTGATCCGGCACCGGCAACGTCGAGGATCGGACTGCGAGATGGAGCGAGCGAGAACAGCAGGGAGAGGGGGGAGAGAGAGGAGAGAAGAGATAGGAGGGGTGTGGGAAAAAGAGGGGGTAGGAAAGGAAACGGAGAAAGTGAAGAAGACAAGGAGGCTGTGAGACAGAGGGATGAGTTGGAATAATGGCGGGCAGTAATGAGAGGAATGATTAAACAGGAATTTCTCCTTTGTGTGAAGTGAGAGATGTCTGAATTATTGGAGTACTTCGTGACCCAAGGAAAGGCTGCTGGTTTGAAAAGCTATTAGCTCCTATAGGGCAGTTATATGGGAATAATATGACTGTCCATCAACATAAAACCAAATGTGAACTCATCAACAACCAGTTCTAACCCCATTAAAATGTCTTTGCTCTTACAGTAGGCACATTTGCATTCAAACTGCAGAATATGCAAAAGCCTTTATAGCCATTTTTTTAATAAATGAGGAGGATTGTACATTTAACTTACATTTTGGTCGCACAGGGCAATCAGTGTGTATTCGCTTATGTCCATTGTATTATAACTTGGTATTTTAACGTGGCTTTTTTGTTGTTTTATGACCAAATGATCTTGGACATGATTTCAGGAGGTATGAACACATTATTGAAAATGTGGTGGTTTTCACATGGATGGATCATCCACTGACCAGCAGGTGTCCTGTTGTTCTGTCTGTGTTTGCACTATGGCACTTTTAATGCCGAAAAGAACGAACCCATACATTTTGCATTTTTACTGTTAGTTTATTACCAAAAGTCCATATATTTCTGCAATTCAACTTTCTTACAATGTAAACCAATACATGATATACTCATTACTCGTACAGTGAGATGTATAATGCTTTGTTTGTTTTAATATTCATAATTTGTTTCCATAATTGGTTCACAGCTTGTGAAAAGCCCAAATAAAACATTTCAGAAAATGTTGAAAGGCTTTGCATATTTCACTTTGTATATATTATATCTATATTATATATCGGCTTCGCAATTTGTTGAATCATAGATACAAGTTAACAATCACATTTTCTGAGTTTCACTTTTTATTAATTTAGATAAATCATTTTACAGCAAGCTTATAATTTGGAAGGTTACATACTGTGCCTATTGTTCTTGTAGTACCTAATGGTTTTCTGTTAAATAAATAATCAAATGTGTCCCCAATAAAAGTCTTGTTTTCATCTTATGAGAAAACATTTTAGCTGTTACATACCAAGAGCTGGGCTGGTTATTTCTTCGTTTCTGAACCTTTGTCACATCTTTAGATCAGATTTATTCAATGAGAGTGATGGAACCAAACTGTTTTTAAAGCGAGGAACTAGTTACATGGATTGTGTTACGTAGTGAATTTCTAAGTGGTTTCAAAGTTACATACCCCCCTGGATTTAAATTCTGCCTTTTACAATACAATCCAATACAATAACCATCAGCATTGTGGATAGCCATGATCGGTAATGATATCTTTCTCCATCATTTCAATCTCTAACTTTTCTTGTAAGGTTAAGGGGATTTTAACTTCTGAAGGGTTGTAGGAGGAATGGGACGAGATAAAAAGCCGCTGCTCTTGACGCCCCCAGCGACTTTGGGTCAGAGCGCGATGAGAGAGGCGAGGATGATTAGCAAGGAACTGGGACTTGGACATGTGAGGAAGGGGAGACGAGGAGGGGAGAGTCTGCTGAACAATTCTAGGGAGCTCAGCAGGGGGAGCAGAGCGAGAGGGAGAGATAAAATCAGGGATAGAGTGATCAGGCAAGAACAAGCTGTTGCCGATATGACTTCAAAACGCCGCTTGAGCTCTTGATTTGCTCTTTGCGGGAAATCGCTGTTTTTTGAATCTGCACGCTATTATTGAACTGCCACATATGGAGCAACTCGAGAGCTATTGGACGTCGGGTAATCCCAACATTCATACATAAAGGAGGAAATGAAACGCCACCCAAATTGCTCTGAGACAAAAAAAATAAACGCACTTGTATATTTCGCCTTGTGCTTTGGCTAAGTTGTTTTTTATGCGTCTCAATTTCCTCCCAGCAGTCTATTTGAACCCTCATTCACGCCTCCATCTTCTAAATATTTCTCAATCTGTGCCGCTTTCCATTTCACCACCTTGAATGTACTTTGATAGCTTTTGTATCTGCCCTTTTTTACTGTCAGTCAGATCTTTTTTTCCCTCCATTACCGCCTATGGCTTGTGTATTTTTAACCTACCCAGCCCAGACCTCCCTCAAAGCAAGGTCCAACAAGGAGAAGCAATTTTTATTTTTTTTGAGTTGCTATAGCATGTTAGCAACAGTTTACATGGCTCGTTGGTTTCACTATTAATCAGAGCTCTCTGGATTTGAAAAAGCCGGTCCACACCTGGGAGATGGGTGACCTTGGAGAGAGACAAACCAGTGTGAACCACCGCTGAGTGATAGAGGTACTGTATTCATCAATTTGAAGCTGCATCATTATGGCTCATTGCATACGGTTTCTGCTCATGTCATTTTGAGTTTGTTAATATGCCTTGTAGTATTAAAGTGATGAACTCGCGACACCGCTTGATCTTAGCTGAAGTGCATTTTTAATGAGCATCAGCATCACACCACATTAAGGGTGATGATTTTGGTTTGTCAGATACCAGTCCATATGTCTCTAAGTCAGGGCTGTCCAAACTAAGGCCTGCGGGCCAAAAGAAAGCCCTCTGGGAAAATGTCTGCGGCCCTTTGAGGCACTTCCACAGCCTCATCCAGCCAACTTCAGCTCCAGTACAGTCATGCTTTCCCTCCACCAAGCTCAGAAGCTTTGGAATTGCTGTTAACTTTATTTGTATATACTGACATTTGTTTTTGATTGTGTCACACAAATTTCATATTTGGCAGTAGAGATGTCCCGATCACTATTTTTTGCCTCAAATCCTTGGTAAACTTCAAATCTGATAAATTTTTTAGTCGCGATCCAATGTTTTTTGTGATTGGTATTCTCAATTATAAAATTGTATTTTTATTCGGTAATCTCAATATCAATACCGAATTGCAATGTACTGTAACCCCAAGTCACTTACTATTTAGTTCTCAAATGCAGAATCATATTTTTTTCGTCTTGAATGTAGCTCTGCTGCTCCCACCTCTCCCAATCAACATGTCACATACTTTGCAGGTTGCTTTTGTGCCGTCCTCGTTTTCTAATGAGAAATACTGCCACACTTTTGACATGATTTGACTAGAAACCACTCTGAAATGTTTGCGCAACTGAGTTTTAAATGATTGTGTGCACAGTTAGCATAAACTGCTACTTCATGACAACTGCTGTGAAGATTGGGCGAGTTGTCAAGCAGATCCCTGATCAGTCAAAAACCATGAATTATCGGCCCGATCCCAATCACAAGATTGGATCGGGTCATCCCTATTTGGAAGTAATGTAGCTGTGGCGTGAATCAATGTGGACTCAATATCACACCCCATTTTAAAACCCAGATTAGCCTTACTCCAGTCAAAACAGTTTAACAGGCCACATTGTCAGCCCCTGCCCCCGGCATGGGTAACTAAAGTGGCCCTCCTATTACACATTTTGGACACCAATGATTTAAGTAATATTGAATGAATGAATACAATATTATTATTATATAGTTGTCGTTATTATAAGAACCTATTTTTCATGTTTGATTTAGGCAGTTCAGTTGGAGAAACACATTTTTATGTACATTTTATTAGTATGAGTTTACTCCTGCGTTATGGATGCCTTGTGTGTAAAAGACACTCGATATCTTTACATCCCTAGTATTATAAGGCTACAGGAACATCGAATACTCATTTACATTTCCAAGTTTGAATATTTCATTGATTTATACATTCACACATTTAGTTGTCTAGACTGCAGTAATAAGAAAGTGTGATGCATCAGAGAGACATGGTTGGTTTTGTTCATTGTAGTGCCGCTGCTCTTGATAAAACGAGGCCAAAGCTGCTCCTGTTTGGTCAGCCTCAAATTAGGGCTCAGAGTGAAAGCGTTTGCAGGAGCGTGACCTCGTGAACCATGGAGAAGTGATCCTGCCTGCTCCTCCTCACCTCAGCATTACAGAAACAAGTGTAAATGTGCACTTACAGTCTGGAAACTGTGAATTCTATGATTGTTCAGTTCTGTTCAGTTTACTTGCCGGATTGTATAATAATAGCGAGGAATGGTGATGAAAAAGAATATACAAGATTTCTAGTCTTACGTGGATAAACCAAACACAAGCGTATAACTCTTCTCTCTTGATACCAGTGTTTATAATACTATTGTTACTTACCTTGAACCTGTGTTTGTGTTTTTTAACATATGATAAACAAATGGGAATAAAAATCCTGGATCCAGGCGGTGATACGGATCCCCCCTGAGGTTTCCTGATATATTCTTAAAAAATCCTCATGTGCAGTAATGATACGAGTTATATAATTCCTATTGCAGATCTTCCTCTGAATTCTTAGAATAAAATAGAACCATGTCCCATTTTAG